TATAAATATAAATGTTGAAATCAAATCTGATATTGTTTTACCTTTTATTTGGTGTGTGGAAGGTGTGCGGAAGAGGGGGTAGTCTTATACGGCGAGTCTATAACAAACTCTGTATTTTGAGTGGAAATGTTAGGGGGTCGTCTTATACGCCCAGTCGTCTTATACGCCGGCAAATACGGTAGTTGTTTTGCAGCTGGATCTCCAGTTAGCGACGGCCAGTCTGGGAACTCACTGAGCTGACCCCGGTCAGGCACCACACGCTGCCCTTCCTGGGGATATGACTGGTGGTTCCTGAGGGGCTGGGAGTCCCCACTGTAAGCTCAGTGCCCCTCACAAACTGGCACAGAGCGAGTGCTCAGCAAAGGTCACTGAGTGAATAAGTCATGAGATGGCTGACGAAACAGAAAGAATTAACAGACAGCGAACTCTCACTCCGTGTAGTTAATAACAGTAAGTGTATTCATAAAACATGCCTTGGAGCTCCAGGTTCCATCTGAACGTAAGTAGAGACCAAAGCCTCTGAGACCAACCTGGCTGAGTTGCCTGGGACTCGCCGGGGTGGATGGATTATGGGAGGGATGGTTATTTACACGTCATCAGCCTATGAGGACACACATCTGACGATGACTGCTTGTGTGGATTTTGGCTCCAATTACCAAAGGTGGATTAGGGCTGAGCTTGGATCCATGAACAGTGAGCCCCTCTTGTCCAGACAAGGTAGACACAGACAGGGAAGTCCAAATTTATCATAGACTTGAACCAGAAAACATTGATTTTTGTCATTCAGGGTTGCAGGAAATTTGAAAAATTCCTCTAGAGATGTAGGTATCACTTTATGCCCCCTTACAATTTTGTCACTCCTGCAGTCAGGAGCTTTGAGGCTGGCTGCCATGAATTTGCATTATAACTCTAAACAAAATTCTTGAATACGGCTTTATTCATGGGAATCTAATTATAGATTTAGCATCTATATAATATCAAGCTATCCAGGTCACTGGTTCATAAAGCTCAGCATTCACCAGAATCACCTGACAGGCTTGTGAAACCAGAGTGCTGGGCCCACTCAAAGGGGTTCTGAATCTGCAGATCAAGGCGCAGCCAGAGAATCTGCATTTCTGTCACATCCCAGCCGATGCAGAGGCTGCTGCTCTGGGGACCCCACTTGAAACCACTGACCCAGATGTTGAACATCGACTCGGCGTTTATGCTCCCGAAGTGTAAAGTGTTTGGGTTCTAGGAGATCCTCCTGTCTCTTTTTTCTTGGCCAACAGCACACACATCATATGAAGCACAGGAAGAGGGATGATTGGAAAATATCAGAAATAATTTAGAAAGTAGTTAAAAGGCAGAACTTACCTCCACACCTTTTCTCTTCCACGCTACTGGATCTCGCCACAGATACTTCTGGAAAAACAAAAATGCAATCACAACGCATAGAGGATGTTGAGTAGAAAGATCACATCAATGATTCATTTACAAAATGTCTAATGGCTTTGAGTTTTATGTGAGTCAAAGTTTCAAAAGCCTGATGTTTTCACAAAAATTGTATTTGTTTCTTTGTTTTAACCAACCTGACATGTATTTGGTCAAGGTCACCTTGATTTGAAAAGGGTCAGATTCATTATCACAGAAAGCAAATGCCATGGTCCCTTGGGCTGACACTAGGAAACTGACTTCAAAATAAGGCCAGAGAATGTGCTGACTTTCTGATACAATACGTCCACCAGCCCTGGAGGCCCACAGTGTTTGCCTGCAGTGGGCCTGTCTCAGGTCCTTTGTTTCATCGAAGCCCTTGTTGTCACATTCCCTGCAGAGGGGACCAATGCACCACAGCTCAAAGAAATGGCCAGAACAAATAAAGTCCCTGTTCAGAGCCCATTCCTGCTTTGCCTTGCCACAGTGAAACCCGGGAGTAAGACCCCAGTGGGAGGTGAGATCCACCTACATGTTTTAACCCCCAAGGATAAAACACCATTTCAGGAGGCCAGAAATGCTCTTCTCCCTGATACTGATGTTTCATTAGAGACTAAGAATTAAAAATGTCTATGATTCAAAAGGGGCACAACAACAATAAATGCTGCAGATTTATACCCTATGCGACTGGAAGGCCCCGCAGGGCTAAAGCTAACACTTGCCTCTAAAATATTATCTTTTCCATAAATGGAGGAAGACAAGTTATTGTCTATTGTGACTTTGGTCCATCACAGTCCTAAGCCAGAGTGGGCAGATGGCAAATGATGTGTCAGTATGTACACCAGGCTGATGGTGAGCATGTGACATGTGACCAGCTATCACTGATAACTACACATCAATTTCACTGGAAAAGCCAATGACAAGAGGGCCAGCCATCTCTTCTCCAAGATGACAAGAATGATGAGTTTCCATTTTACCAAATATAGTCAAGAAAACAGCCCTTTTCCCGTGTAAACATACATACAGCGCTGCCAAAGCATTTAACTTATTAATTAAAATAACCAAATAAGCCACTTTAATTTTTTTTTTTTGAGCAAAACCTTCTGCAGGCGTTCTAGTCAGCAAATTGTAGAAGACATTGTGCTTAAGAAAATTTTAAAACTCATGGCCTAAAGTCAAGCCCAAATCCACAGTCATCTATAAATCTACACGTGAATCATCTTGAAATCACTGAGTTGCTAGAATCATGCTTCGCCAAATGGGACCTAAAGAACAGGTAAAACTCCCACCTATGAGTCATTTCCCCTCTGCACGTGGGAGGTGGTTTTGTTCACACTGATAAGCACCTCTGGCCTTACCTGGGATGAAGTTGGAGTCAAAGCTACACGGCCGGCTCTCGGTGGTGTTCCCAGAACACTGGCTGCCCACGGGGAAGAGAAGGATGCACTGGCGCGCGCGGACCTGGGCTCCAGTCACATCACACTGAGACCAGTCTGACCACTCCGACCAGCTTTCTGCAGTGACCAGGAGAGGGGAGACGCAGCATCAAGACCCACTGAGCAATCAACCTTGAAGCACTGTCAATTACATGCATTACTTTAACTCTCCATATTAGCTTTGTGGGGCTTCTATAATAAATACGAGGTGCTCGTGTCTTCTGACCAGTTCCATGAATAATACACACACGAGCATGAATAAAAGAACTCGTGTATTTTGACCAGGCATAACGCTTAAAATACATTTGCTAAAACCCACATTATTTTAATGCTGTACAGTAACTGAATTGGACACTGAGTAGCGAATCCATGACAGCCAGTTGTGCACAGCCCACGAGTGGTGGGGGGACAGAAATCTGCCATACAGACACCGTTTCCACCCGAGTAACACTCCTCCGTGACGATCAGCCTGCCAGCGCTTTCCTGGAAATCTCCCACAGGCCTCATTGCTCAGGCGACAGAGACCATGTGCGTTCCTGGGAGAACCCCAGCTGCTGAATGGGGGCTTCAAGCTACTGCCAGTACTTCCTCTTCCATTATACAAGCAATTCTGCAGAGTCGATATGCCCAAGTCAGGCTGTGCTTGAGGCAGAATTCATCTTAACCCATGTTTGCTGGCACAGAAGCATATGAGATAACACCCAGGTCTAGGGCCAAAGGTGAGCTATGGAAGCTCACGTCACCCCGTGTGGAGGATTCACTAGGATTTGTGAAATTCCCCCAGGCCTACACATGTGTGAGCGAGAGAATGACGCTCGCATTTTGAGCAGATTAAAAAAAACAACCACAAAAAATGAACTCTTGATACGATTTATGAAATATTAATCAACATAAAAGCATATTTTCCTATGCAGTTTGCATCTTTCCCTCTTTTTAAATGTAAGCATCATCTTTGCAGTTAAGCGGAAATTTGGAAATCAAAACTGGTGCCTTGATCCATGTAAAAGGTACATTCTCCCTTAGAAATGTGTCAAGTGCCAGTTTTTGTGAGAATGGCTGTGAGAATCTGCTTTCTGGGCACTTTCCAATATACATGGACCCTTCCAGAAAGATCTGCCGGAACAAGCGAAAAAAGCAAGTCTGGGTGTTTCAATGTCGAAGTTAGACTCAGAAGAGAGTCTCATTTTCATTCCAACGGTCCCCACACGTCAGGCAAGAAGCGAATTCTTGGCTGGGCGCTGCTGCAGCTCCTTCCCTGAGCGCCTGCGCCAGCCGGCCTCAAGCCCGGACCTGCACCCACGGCCCCCCGCACCCACGGCCCCCCACATCCACGGCCCCCACACCCACGGCCCCCACACCCAGTCCTGTTAGCAGCTTCATGAGGCCTCTCCCTGCACCCCCGTCACCAGGTTAACTGTTTTGCAAAGGCTTTGTTATAAGTGGGGAGCACCATTTTATTGCAGGACAACGTGTTATGACGTCACTTCAAGGGTGATAGTGTGGGGCTGATGCGTCTGTCCCCTCTTTCAGTACCTGTGATGTGGTATCATCAATTTCACCATTTCTACACCGAGGAAACAGGCGCGTTTGTCCCCACATAACCCCACAGCGAGGCCGGGCGGCCTGGGCTTACCGGGGCAGGGCTGCGTGTTGCAGAGTGCCTCCTCTGTGTGCAGCCCCAGGCAGATGTCACCTCCGTAGGCGGGGGCGGGGTTTGTGCAGGAGCGGGTCCTCATGTAGTGTCCACCGCCACAGGTCGCCGAGCACTTTGACCAGGGGGACCAGCAAGACCACATGCCATCCACTGCAAGAGACACAAAGTCCATCGGATGAGGCCACAGATAGAACCTGCCAGGCGGGAACACGTTATGCTCTGCCGGCCACTCACAGTGGGTCTTTGGGGTCCTCCTCCTGGCGAGGGCCCCTGTCCTGCTGCCTCCTCCCTACATGGTTTCAGTCCCTCTGATTCATTCCCTGGAGAAGTATCGCTAAACATAACATGTAAGCGTGAGGATGGCAGGGCTGCAATGTAACAAAATCGCGTCCCCGGGAATGACCGCGAACCACGCTGTGCCGTGACTGATGTAATTAACCTCTTGCTTTTGCTAACTGCACAACCGAGCTGGCCAGAGGAGACGTACAACCAAGGACAGAATGTCCCAGTCACGGCCTTTCTTACTAATTGGATTCCGATCTGCTCCAGGACTGTGGGATACAGCAAAGCTCACAGGCCCTGTGGGGAAGGACTGTGAAGGACACTCAGATGCGGGCACCGGACAGCCACACTAAGTGCACACCAGGCAGGGCCAACGGCGTGTGTCTGGGATGGACTGAGCAGAGGACTTGCTACCTGCACCAGACTGCAGGCTGGATACAGAGGTGACTTCTGTCACTGGGACATTGGGCAGAGCTGGCCCCTGCACTAACTGTTGCCGCACCTGCTGGTAACCTCCTGTTTTCTCCAGGCTGGGCTCCTGATACCTGTGGAAAGGCCACCTGAACGCTGGAGTCAGCTGACCCACCTGGACCCAGGTGCAACCTCCTGCATGAGCTGACATTGCTAAAGCTGACACCTCACGCCTACTTCGGTCTGACATCATCAGATAGGATCTGGTCCTGGCTGGCCCTCCCTCCTGCCAGCCAGCTCTGCCCCATTTTGCTGAGTCCCAGACTAAAGCTGGACTTTGTCAAGATGTCTCTAGACTCTAATTAGTGAGCAGAAAAAACAAAACACAAACAAAACAAAACAAAAGAAACGATCAAAAGCACAGCTAACTACATAAAAAAAGCTGAAGAGGTACCCACTGATGTTATATGTAGATAGTATCATGTTTTATTTCCTCTGCATCTCACAGAAAATAAAACAGAAGCAACCAGGAAAGGGAATGCCAAAATTGTTAACGACCCAAGGCTGTTTTGTCTAGAATGACCTATTTTGTATTTAAATACACCCATTGTGATTTAATAAATCTTTACGGAGTAATAGTTTTTCCTAGAAATAGGTATAGATTAAAAAATAGCATTTTAGAGAAAAATGAATAGGAACATCATGTTTATGATGGTATTTTAATTCACAAAATGTAAAAACAAAACAAAAAAAAACATTTGAACACAATTTTAAAATGAGTTTGTAACGTAGCTGGGAATTTTGTGAATTCAGAACTTGCAGAATTCAACATTTTCCCCAAGAGGCAATGAGTATGTCAGGAAGTAAGAGGGAATGAAACAGATATCTGACACTGACTGTAATACCAGAAAAAGGAGGCAGGTATGGGTTTGCCCAGAACTTTAAAATTTTCAAAAATCCTTTGCCATATCTGTTCTCGCTGGGGGAATTCTTGTTGGCAGTTTTGCTCTGTCTGTAACCCAAGTAGAAGTTTGGTCTCACAGGTCTCACTTGAGTGCATACTTGCACAGGCCCACACTGAGGCACAGGTAAGTCACAGCGCCTTGGAATGGCAGGTGTCACAGAGCTCGGGTGTCTGAACGCACACGAGGCAGTCCAGCGCTCAGAAAGGTCTAACATTTCATCCAGATTGATGCTGGAGTCGGACATAGAACCAACTGTGTCATCTGAAGACCCCTGGCTTTTCTCTTGCATGATGAACCTGCATTTCAATGACCAGCTGGTCCATGAAAAGGTGCCCAACATCACTAATCAGCAGGGAAACGCAAATCAAAACCACAGTGAGATGGCACCACACACTGTCAGAATGGCTATCATCACAAAAACAATAGATAGCAGTGTTGGCAAGGATGTGGAGAAATTGGGACCCTTGTGCCCTGTTGGTGGAAATGTAAAACGGCACAGCTGCTGTGAGTAACAATATGGTGGTTCCTCAAAAAAGTTCAAAATAGAACTACCGTATGTTCCAGCAGTCACACTCCTGGGTATTTATCCAAAAGTACGGAGATCAGGGTCTCGGAAAGATATCTGTGCCCCCACGTCCAGTGCATTATACACAGTAGTCAAGATATGGAAACATAAATATCAACTGACAGATGAATGGGTAAAGGAAATGAGGTATATATTGTACATTCCACAGAATATGCCATTAAAATGGAGGGAGCTCGGGGAGGGGAAATAGGGGTTGCTGTTCAATGAGTGTGAAGTCTGAGTCACGCCAGATGAATGAGCCTGCAACCCTGTGCTGGAGCTAACAATGCTGTATTGTGCACTAATACACACCTTCAGTCGGTCCCTCTGTTAGACCCCTTCTCATTCACACTTACTGCTTTCATAGTAAAGACAACACCAACTGTCTTATACAAATTTGAATACTGGTAAAAAGAACTACCTTTGTTGGCCAAGGTGTGAAATCCTTAGTTCTGAATTAAACATGGATTGACTAAAAGGAGTGAAGGCCAACGCCAAACTATTTCTCAATGTTGGAGGTAAATTGTGTAGGTGAAGAAACTAGTTGGAACAACCCATAGATGATGAAAAGGGGTCACTGCAAGACGGGCTCGCCTTTCACACTGTATTATAGTTTAGCATACACATTAGAACTGGACATCAAATCCTTCACTGATTCATTTAAAATTGTATTTTACATACACCTTTGATTTTCTCAGATTTGTTTGAAACTTCATCATAATGAGGGAGCTTGTTTTTTTTCATAAAATACAGTGCCCATCTGTACGTGTGTGCTATGGACCCAACCAAGCCATGGAAGAGTAAATTCTCAGGAGGAGAGTGTCTGAAATGAGGTAAAAATAGCCCTATAACTGGACCTCCTTGTGGCTGAGCAGCTCGGCATCCAGAGCCCTGAGGAATCCTCACCCGTCCTTGCTGAGTTACACACTGTCACGTGTTAGGAATTTTCCAGGAGGTGGGACAGAGGAAGGACATTTGCCCAACTCAGTCTTGCAAACCCATCTACTCCCAAGTGGAAAGTGATGGGGGCTACTCCGAATGTTTTCACAACCCTCTATGGAATTTTGGCTTTCAGAAAGAAAATGAGGACAGAGCTATTTTAAGGCATTAAGGTTATATATACACATGATACTGCTTGACCATCAAATCAACAAAAATAAACCCAGCCCAAGGTCATGTTAACGGGTGTCTGTGAGACGGGCACTGGGCCTGCTCTCCAGGGCAGGGCAGCACCCCAGCATCGGGAGGAGTCCGCACGTTCTGCTCACGGCAACCAGGACTCGTGTCTGGAGCCTGGGGGGGCGAGAGTACAAGGAGGGGTCCTGACATTCCCATGTCGCCCCCCCTGCTCGGTTTACAGCACGGGCTTTAATCTAACGGTGTCGCCTCTCGGGCTCCCTCCCAGCCCCGGGGAAGGAGCCCTCGCTCTCAGTGCTGGACTGTGGGAACCAGCCGGCGGTGTGACCTTTCCCAGCCCCTCGGAATCGCTTGGCTGGGAACGCCGGGTGTTCAGAGTGAAGGGTCTCCTGAGGCTGGAGAAATGCAGGCAGAGCAGCCTCGGAGAAGGGGCAGCTGCAGGAGCAGGGATGCTATTGGGAGGTTCAGCTATTGGGTCGTCGGAAAAGTCATGATGCATTTTTGCAATGAAAAACATAGAAAAAATACATCATGATTTTTCTGACAACCCAATAAAAAGCAGGGAACTGTGTATTTTCAGTTTAATGTACACATATTTGCTAATCCACCCACACTCCATCATCCATCTACTCATTTATCCATCACCCACCCATCCATCCATCATCCATGCACCCATCCATCCATCCATCCATCCACTCATCCATTCATCTACCATCCACCCATCCATTCATTTATCATCCATCCATCCATCACCCACGCATCAACCCATCATCCATCTAGCCATCCATGATTTATCCATCCATCACCCACCCAGGCATGCATGCATGCATTCATCCATCCATCCATCCAACGTCCACCCATCATCCATCCATCCATCATCCACCTATCCATCTACCCATCCATCACCCACCCAGGCATCCACCCATTGACCCATTCATCATCCATTGATCTATTCATTCATCATTTTTCCATCATCCATCCATCCATCCATCCATCCATCCATCCATCCATCCATCCATCCATCCATCCAACAAATGTTCACTGAGCACTGCTACAAGCCAGTTGCTTGTTCAAAGAACTCAGAAAGTTGCTTATGCCTCCTGGAAAAGATGTTACATTTCCATGTTGCTGTGCCTTTAAAAACACTGTACCTGGTGTTTGGAATGACCCCCCACTCCCCATCTCTGCTTCTCTATGTGGCCAACTCTTATCTGTTAATCAAGACTCGGCTCAGGGGCAGCCTGCTCGGTGTAGCTGCCATGATTCCGGCTCAGTGGGTCCTTGGCTGATGTAACCACTGCATCTTGTCACCAGCCCCATAGCTGGTGACCATACTGGGTTGGCATTATTCACAGGACGCCTCCTCACCGAACTCTAGGCTCCTTCTAACCTGGACCATATCACTGCATCTTTCTTTACCCTGAGGACAGTGCCCAGTGGACTATCCAAAAGTGTTTGCTCATCAGTTGAGTGAAGGAAGGAAGATCAATAACCAGCTGCTTGTTTTGCAGTCGGTTCAACTAACAATCCCTGGCAGGTGTTTCTAGTGTGTGCCAGGCCCATGCTGGGAGCTGAGGGCACTGCAGCGAGGGAGTGAGGCCGTCCCAGCGTCCCCGCCCTCCGGGAGCTTTCACTCTGACCCAAGGCGAAGGCAGCGCACACAGCTGTAGGCAGCACTGGGGATGGATGGAGGCATCGGGTAAAAGGTCCTGACTGTGGGAAGGTCAGATAGAAGTGACAAAGGTGACAGGGCTGCACCCAGGGCTGTGGCAGGAGGAATGCAGAGAAGACAGAGCCTTGGGGTTGTGGCAGCAGACGAGGCCTTGGGTGGGGGCTCTTTTAGCTCATTTTATTAAAACTGTGCTTGTTTGGGAAGTCCGTAGAATCAAAAGCCAGGTGTCAGGAGGAAGACCCAGACAATACAGCTTCTGTGGGCCTCCAGGAGAGGAGTGTGTGTTTAGAGGACTGCGCTGGGGAGCGGGTGAACCCCTGCTGACTGAGGGTACAAGGGACTGGCTTGGCAAGCCCCTGGTGGGTCACCCTTGATAATGGTCACCCTGCAGGGGTAGTCTGGTGAATAAAGGCCGTTTCTGCAGGGCTGGGCCCATCGGAGCCTGGGAGGGGCCAGCCTCCACTTGTCCGGACAGGACACCTCTCTGCAGACCACGGCGGCAGGGCTGACTTCTCCATCAAGCACCGTGCCTAGGGCCCACAATCCTCGGAGCGGCTCACGAGAACGTTTCAGCTTATTTTAAATCAGAAGAAATAAATGAATATAATCCAGCCTAGGTTTTATTTGTTTTTAAATCAATGCAGTTGGAATGTATTATCTGTGATTTATGTATCTGTATGCATATGTCTGGTATGTATACACAGGCATACCTCTCTTTATTGGGCTTGGCAGAGGTTGTGTTTTCTTATAATTGAAGGTAAGACTCTCCACCAGCAAAAACATTACAACTTGGTGAAGGCTCAGATGATGGTGAGCCTTTTACAGAAATGAAGTCTTTTTAAATGAAGGCATGTACATTGTTTTTTTAGACATAATGTTATTACTCACTGAATAGCCTATGGTATAATGTAAACATAACTTTTATATGCACTGGGAAACCCGAAAATGCATGTGACCTGGTTTATTGCATTGCTGGCTTTATAGCAGTGGCCTGAAACTGAACGTCAGCATCTCAAAGGTATGCAATAGTTTTCCTTTTCACCCCTCACAAGGTGACAGCCCCCCTCCCCCCATAGTAATAATAAAAACAAAATAAAGATTATACAGGAAGAAAAAAAAGGTATGAATGTGTGTGTGTGTGTAGATAGATAGAAAGATAGATAGATAGATAGATAGATAGATAGATAGATAGATATAGATAGATAGATATAGATATCTCATCTCAAACATAAGGCCGTGGAAGAGGGCTGAGTCTCCCTAGATCAGAAAGTCTCCCAAAGCCCTGATTGTTCAGATTTTACCGAACTCCCCAATCCACTCACCTGGGCAGGGCAAAATGTTGCATTCCTGGTACTCCAGGGACGGGCCCAGGCAGGGCATGCCCCCGTACTTGGGCTCAGGGTTGTTGCAAACCCGCTTTCGGTTCCGGATGCCCCTGCTGCAGTCGCGGCTGCACTGTGACCACGACGTCCAGGCTGACCACGCCCCATTGACGGTGTGGGCGGAGTATCTCCCCGCGCGCAGGAAGTCACCAGTAAGACCTGCCAAAGCAAAGGCTAATGTGTGAATCTGTTCGGTGTCCAGGTCCCTGGAGTCCAATCAAACTTTCATTCTGTATCAGCTGCCTGCTTTCTTCCTATAACTACACCCTCAAATTCAGTTGAACACTTTTTACCCTTCAAAAGCCAAACAACAACAAAAAAACCCAAAAACAAATTGCAGTAGAGTGGGAACCTCCTGTGCCTCGGGCTTGTCCCTACACTTACTAGGAAATCAGGGTGCAGGTCAGCACTCAGCTTGAGAGTGAGGAGGCGTCCTCACACAGGCCAGAGGTCTTACGTTTGTAGTTCATTTTTCTGAGACTTTTTACAAAGAAAACACAACTTTCTCACTTCCCTTGGGAATTCTACAGCAACCTGCCCTTGGACACGGTGAGGTAGGTGAGCGCTCGCCACTGGGGACGAGGTCTGGAAAACGGAAGGGTGATTCAGACATTTTCTAAACCTCTCCCTTCACCCGTTCACCGTTGCAAAGGGAAGTAAGGCTGGTGACAGACGTGGAGTAAATGCTTCCGAATCACAGGCCGTGGAGACACATGTCTGCCCCAGAACCAAGCAAGGGGGCTGAGCCCACGGCCCGGAACCGAGCACAGTCTTGAGTGGCCTTGCCATGTGGCACGCGCTCCCATGAAGCTCACATCGCACTTACCAGCAAGATGTGCTTCCCCAGGGACAAGTGCAGATGTAGGAGGAGCAGAAGTCGGGGTGGTGGGTGTTGGGGGAGGCGAGTTGTCTCCGTAGAAACAGACTCTGAGTACTGACTGTGTGTCAGGTCTGCCCCCAGCACTTTGCACTTGTCATTTAATTAGCCACAGTCAAAACTCCTGTTCGTTTTAGGGAAAATGCCTACCCACTTATTATATTAAAAAGTGCTAAGTAATTTTCTCAAATGTAGGCAGTGTGACACAGATTTTAACAAAAAAAGTCTCAAGGGAGGCACAAAAAGTTCTGGGGAAGTGTGACAAAGCCAATGTGCCAACAACTGTCCTGCCCACTGTGAAGCAACTTTGTGGCTTTTCTTAGAAACTGGCCCAGACATCTAGGCAGGATGCTCTTCCGAGAAAATGGACCAGGAATATCATTCTGTGACAAACCACTACTTTGGGGTTCATCCATTAAGAACAACTATGCAGTTACGCCTCATTTTGTGTGGTCAGGGTCAAACAAGTCCAATTTTATATTTTCACGATATCGGTACGGAAAACGTATGGATGGTCATTAGAATGTGAAACCATTAAGACACAAAAAAGATGGAATCTTTTTACAGCCATGTCCATGATATACTTTTGGAGGAAATATAGAGTATCTTTTATAAGTATACATTCAAATTTTCCTTAGTTTACATTAATAACATTTAAAACAAATATTAGCGTTGGTTTTGTATGTATCTGAGAGCGGAAGGAATTAAAAACATCTATGTTCAGAAAAGACAATAAAGTTAATGTATAGAGAAACTGTTACTCATTTTCTACTTTGATGTTATAAGAAATGAGATAGTTCACAGCCAGCTCTAAAATAAGGAAATAAGTGAATGAATTGAAGACAGGGTTGTCAGACTTAGCAAATAACATACAGGCAGACCAGTTAAATTTGAATTACAAACTAATAACAAATCCTAATTTAGGATAAGTAACTCCCAAATATTGGATGGGACTATTTATCCTAAAAAGGAATCATGGGGCAGATTTATACTACAAAAATTCTGAAAATGATCTGAAATTCGTGTTTAATGGGGCATTCTGTTTTTATCTCACAACCTAACTTGAGATTACAAGGTCAACCCTTGTGGAATGCAGGTCTGTAAAAGAGATCTTCAGTTATCTATCTCTGGTATTCCATCCTATATCTTTTCTTCTCATGATGGCAGAATTTTATAGAATTAATAAGACTGAGTCTCATTTTGCCTGATATTCTAAGTAGGTGGTGTTTGTTTTATATAAATCATAGACTTATTCATATAAAATTTGGCCACTAAAACAGACCTTTTTTTTTCTCCCAAGAAACAATGAACAAGCTTGTAAGTTGCTGAACAACAGTGCGCAGGATTTGAGGTAAGGAGAGAGTCAATGTCTTTAACTGCGTAGACAGTTAATGTCATCGAAAACAACATGACCAGGAGTGGCTCTCGATGGGGACTGTTGGTCCTCCAAGCATCTAGGCTGGCAGTGCTAAGCTGCCTGGCTGTTTAGCAGCTCCCAGAAGGAGGTATGGAGACCTGTGACGTGTGCAGCTGGTGGCCCTCACTCAGAGCCACTCCCTGGGACAGCATCCCTCAGGCAATGCAGGAGGAGATTAATCATACCTCCATGAATTTATGCCACCATGACAGTCCAACATGGCGCCTCATCACATTGGGAGAAAAAGGTAGAACCACAAAGGCAGAGCTGCTGAGAAATGTTGGAGGTGGTCTGGTGAAGATCTTACTGTCACTGTTCTCATCAAACCACGCTCTGAGGGCCCAAGTGCGAGCACGCGTTTTCTTCGTACAACTGGTCAGATTTTGTTAAATTAGATGAGAATGATAGAGGAGATGAAAAAGGAGGCACAGATGAAGGTCTTTGGGGTGGCCAGGCAGAGGGTAGCTCTTCTGACGCACCCTAGAACTTTCCCCGCACTGTTAATATGGCGTTAAAGGGATCTAGATAATTACAAGGGGCAAAGCAATTTCATAGGCTATTAAAGGATGCTCAAATGCTGTACTTTGTAACATAAAGAAACTTTTAAATATAAACAGAGATGCACTTCTGTTGTCTTCGTACAGTTTGAGATGAATCAAGGAAGAGCTTATTGCTATTTATATTTTAGTGCCAGAACTGTGGAAGGTCGCTGACCCTTCTGCAATGTATTTTCTGATACTAAATAAATCTCCCGCAAACTCACGTGGACCTATTATAACTACAGTGTTATTTTGAGGGTTGAAGTCACAGGACCACCTCAATATCTGAGTATTACTGAATTTTTATAGTAAGAGTCTTTCTCATCAATGGGCTATGAAGCCAGTTCTACTCTAGACGGATCATTGTTCTGAAGATCGCTGGACTCTAAGTCCCCAGAAGGAAAAACAACCCCCCCCCCACCCTCCCCACCCCCCCCACCCCCGTCTATGAATTTGCAGAGAAGATCATCTACCTTGTCTACGGCAGTGGGCCGGTCCCAGTGGCGTCCCTACTCACCATCCGTGGAACAGCTGCTGGTGCCATCGCTAGAACAGTACCGCATCTCGATTCTTTGTCTCCCCACTTCCAGCAAATTCGGGTCCGGCAGGCGGGCTTTGCACGTGTATCGGAACCGCTGCTCGTAGTGGCCGCCGTTGTCGGAGATGTTGACGGGCGTCCAGGGCGTCCAGGGCGTGGTCTTCTTCAGCTCCGGGCACGGGCTGGTGTTACACGGCTGGTACTCCTGGGAGACAAAAGGCGGGGCGTGCCCGTCATAAGGCGTAAGTAGAGGCAGGGGCTTCCTCCTATTGCGAAAGACAGTCCCCTCTAAAAGTCCAGGTCCTGAGACACCAGTTGCTCTACAAGGTTGAAAACACATTTTTGTTAAATTAGGCATTTACGAGAATGGTCCATGTTCAAGTCAAATCTGAAAGGATCTTGATCAATTCGGCTGCGTCAACAATGACAATGAGGCAATAAACCTAACTGCATGTGAAAAAAAATTGTGATCCCATCAAAACCTCCTCCCTTTCACTTATGTAACCAAAAGTGCCAATTACCCTGATGTTAAATTTAGCTGTCTTCTGTAGAAGATTGAAGTTAAAATGATGCTACCATCACTTGTTTTTTTGGACCATATTATGTTCAGGTTGAGATCAATGAATGTTTTAAGCTCTGGAATCGCAGATTCAAAGCGTTACACTGGTAGGTATCTAAATGATAACACAACATGTAACTTTTAGTCGATAAAAAGTTTTCACAAGGTTTTCCTGGTTACTGTCTCAGTGACATTTGTCAGTTTCTGCTCCCCTCCCTCACTACCAGGTATCTCTTATAAGGACAGGCAGGAGGGTCCCAGGAGCTGAGCAGAGAGATCTGAAGGTCTGGCAGAAGCGGAACAGTGTGTTGGAGGGGCGGCAAAGTGGAATTTAAGGCTACAATTATGAAGATCTTCCTGAAGCACTAAAATATGTATTTGGCAAAAATTTTAAACACTATGTCCCCCAAAGCTGGGCCAAACATAAGGGGTGCTGGGTTTGACCTTGGAGACAGTTCTACATGATGATTCTATCATTTGAGAACAAAGGATGTTTCATTAGAGAGAAAGCCCACCACACATAACACACTCAATTATGGCCATACTTTTAAAATGATTTTTTATCAATGTTAAACATAAATGTAAAACAAGAGTTAATTGGCTCTCTATGCTTTATTGTGAAAAAGAGAACTTGTTTATCCTTCCCCCAGTAATTTTATTTTATTATTATTTTTTAAAGATTTTTATTGGGGAATTGGGGGATGGGAACAGCACTGGGGAATTGGGGGAAAGGGAACAGACAAGTTGCTGTTGTTTTGTTCTTTAGTCTAGTTGTGGAGGACGTCGCTTCACTGGCCCAAGTTGGCACTATCATTGCTCTCTTCCCGGGCGCGGCAGATCAGTCGCCGGCTTCTGCACGGCCACTCACGGTGGCTGCTGGCTACACATGGTAGCCCATGGCAACCCACTGCAGCAGGGGCTGCAGCCTATGCCCTCGCAGGTGACTCTCGGCAGCCCAGCTCCAGGTTGAGCTGTTGTTCAGCATCTTAGCTGTGGAGGGCAGTATCACTGGCCCTCATATGTGGGATCTGAACCAGGGCCCTCTGGCATCCCAAGCCAGCTTTTAACCAACATGCCACTCAGCTGCCCCCACCCCCAACAATTTTAGTTGAATATTTTGATCTTTATTCCCTAGAGCTAACAGCTAGAATCTTCCGTTAGGCATTGTCCACTAACTGTGCACTGTGGAAAAAAAGGACTTAGCTCTCAACTCCCCACCCTGTGTCTACAGCACTGATGCAGGCTTCCCATCTGCCGTCATCATAACAGAGTTAAACTGTACTTTGGTTAGGTCAAAATCCAGCGTTTGCGCTGCGCACTAGGTGAACACTATCAGGCCTGAGTGGTGTGTAAACTATGATTGGTTTGTTTCTTGGCTTGTTCCCTTCCAATCCCGGTCTAGGTCCCTCCTAGTTTGTTTTTTT